AAAGTCTCCCTGCAGGGACAGGCTCCCCGCCTGCGCATCCTAGAGGAGATGAAGGAGCATGGCACTGCAAAGTCTCCCTGCAGGGACAGGCTCCCTGCCTGCAGACATCCTAGGAGGAGATGAAGGAGCATGGCACTGCAAAGTCTCCCTGCAGGGACAGGCTCCCCGCCTGCAGACATCCTAGGAGACCAGGGTGCAGCAGGGAGAGGGCTGGATGTCACAGCAAGTTAGAGGGGTGTGAAGGGAGAATCACAGCAAGGTGTGTAATATGGAGTCTCCTGTCCAACGTAGAGACTGTGGTTTTCATTCTGAGAAGGATGGAGGGTCACTGAAGTGTTTTGATAAAAGATGTTTCTGCAATGGCTTCTCTTAAAAGGGCATCTGGGGTCACAGGCTTGTAGACAGACACAGGGGACAGCAGGAGAAGCAAAAGACCAAAGAGAAGGACAGTGCAATAAGCCACAGGAGAGGCGATGCTGGCTCAGGCCACGGTGGTGGCTGCGAAGGTGGTGAGAAGTGGTTGGGTTCTGGACATAGTTAAGCTTAGAGCCCAGTGTCCTGTTGATAGATTGGCTGTGTGGAGTAAGAAAGAGAAGACTCAAGTGTGCCTGGAAGTGTGTTTTGGTCTGAACAGTTAGAAAGATGAAATTGACTGATGGGGAAGACGAGACGAAACAGGCTTTCAGGTAAATCAGAGGTTCAGTTTGAGGAGTATTAGGTCAGACATTTCAGTTGTGGATCTGACTAGAGACATGCGTCAGGCAGTGTATAAACAAGAGTGGAGTCAGGGAGGAAGTCCAGGAGAGAGATCACTGGAGCACGGTAACTCCGAGTGGGCACGTGAAGTCCTGAGAGTAGGAAGTCGCCCAGGGAGTGAGTACAGATGAGAACAGGGAAGAGGACGTGGAGATGAACCAGCAAAGACTGACAAGGGACGAGTGCCCCACGGAAAAATCCAGAGAGTGTGAAGCCCTGGAAGCCAGGTAAACATGTCAAGGCAGACCCAGGACCAAATGTGACAACACCTGCTGCAGACCCGACACTGACCACTTGTTTAACAACGTGGAGATTAGTGGCGATTTTGAGAAGACCAGTTTTCTAAGTTTGAAGGCTTTGCCAATACACTTGGCTCATAGGATTTGCCTTGTTACAGGCTAAGTAGCAGTTATCTCTTAAATTATTCCTTATATGATAGAGTTTCCAGACCCGTAAGCACACTGATTTTCCAGTTTAGACCTACTCAAATTTGTTAATGTTTATTTTCCCAAACTGGGCAGGTGGGCACCTGGCATTCTTACTTTTGTAAATAAATCTTTATGGGAACCCAGCCATACCCCGTTGTTAACATATACATGGTTGCTTTTGCATTACAACTGCAGAATTTAGTTATATACAGACCATGTGAGCTGCAGAGCCTAAAACAATTCCTGTCCTGGAAGGCCAAGTGGCACTCAGAACTGAGCACTCCCCTCCAGATGTGTCTGACCCAGATGAGGTGTAAAGAAACCATCACAGGTGGCACCTGTGGCTCAGAGGAGTAAGGCACTGGCCCCATATGCTGGAGGTGGCAAGTTCAAACCCACTCCCGGCCAAAAAAAAAAAAAAAAAAAAAAGAAACCATCACTGTCTGCCTTACATATCTATTAGTGTAGTTCAAGTTTGAGTTCTTTTGTAGGCAGAAAGGCACTTCCAGCCTCCTCTAAGGCTTTTTCTTTTCTCATCCTAGTTGTAGGCTACTGCTTTTAAAACCCTTGATTCACAACTTTCTATCTAGAAAATACACTTTGCTGTGCAGGGGCACAGGGGCTTTCTCACGGGGTTCTGACATATTTCCTGAAACTTATTTAAGCTGTTTAACTTAAAATATCTTTTCTTCTATTTTATCTCATTTTTAGGATTCTAATTTCCTTCAATTTTTAATTACTATCTCTATAGTTTCATCCTATCATTATAGTCTTCATTTTTTAAACTGAATGTGCTTTTTAAGCTTTTATACCTCTAAAATCCTTACATCCCTATTTCTGTTTTGTGAAGGGATACCCAATATTATTATTTCCTATACTTGACACCTTAAAACCAACTGTCTCTACTTACCTGTGAGCATTTAGACCGTCCACAGCACAGCCTATGCTTTTCTTGTTCACATGCTAGGACTCGCTGAACTATAATCATTCTGTCAAATTGTCCCCAAAATGTTCCCTTTAGATGAACATATGTAATAGCTTTTTAATTTCATGAGGATTCAAGCAAGACTTAGAAAAATAAAATACGACTCATAATATTTTGATGTTAGGGTTCTTTGTGGACATTCATTAATTCACTTCAATGGTTTGTGCTTCTTTGTGGCAGGCGCCGTGTGGGCGCTGCAGTTACAGAGGTTTCTGAGACCCAGGGCTTCTCAGCCTCAGCGCTGCTGACATTCTGAACCGGTTAATTCTCTGACATGGGGGCTGTGGGGTGCGCTGTAGGGTGTGGAAACGCCCTACACAGCCTCTGTTCTGAAGGGCTTATTTTCTAAATGGGAATGACCTTTAAATGAATAATTATGTCACGGGGTGGTAAGTGCCAGGATAAAGTGTGCCTAGATTGCCACAGGAGCTCAGAAGGAGGGGCAGCCAACAGTGCAGCAATTAGTAATAATTTCAAGGAGAGGTGACATTTAAGCTGGGTTTGGGGGAGACTTTGCATATGACGCACTCGTATTAGCACAAGCAAAGAGAAATAATAGAAATCCTGAAAGAGTACATGCAAGTTGAGATACAGTCAACTGAGTTTACTGACGATGCAGCTTAGGATAATACTATGTTAAGACACGTAATCTTACACATGTAATAGTAACTTGTATTCTCAAAGGAAGTAAAAGATTTTGATCCAAGTGAAAAAGCTCTCAAGATTCCCATTAGAGCCAGGCGCTGTGGCCCATGCCTGTATTCCTAGCACTTGGGAGGCCGAGGCAGGTGGATTGCCTGAGCTCACAGGCTTGAGACCAGCCTGAGCCAGAGTGAGACCCCGTCTCTAAAAATAGCAAGGTGTTGTGGTGGGCGCCTGTAGTCCCAGCTACTCAGGAGGCTGAGGCAAGAGAATCGCTTGAGCCCAAGAGTCTGAGGTTGGTGTGAGCTATGATGCCACAGCACTCCAGTGGGGGCAACAAAGTGAGACTCTGTCTCAAAAAGAAAAAAAAAAATTCCCATTAGAGCTTGTTGTGGGAAATCCTACTTGCGGAGGTTCCTACCCTCCTGGCTAGAAAAGGGGAGTCCTGGGAGGCAGCGTTTCTCACTGAGAGGTGGGAACTCCTCCTGCAACCCGGAATGTTTAGCGGCATCCAAGGCCTCTGTTCGCTAGGTATCAGTAACCAGACTGTCACCAGGCACTGCCAACTGTCTCCCCGCCCCGCCATACTGACAGGCAGGGAGGTGAACATCTTACCACTTCCGTCAACTCCTACGACTAGAGGGTCTTCCATGTGGCTTGTCCTTGTGCCGCTTGGCTAGCCTGCTTGAGGGACGCTCTCCCTGGCTTTGTTCTGTC